CTTATATATTTAATTTAGGCATAGATTTATGAGTACTTTTCATCATTGGGCCCAATCGCCATATTGTCATATTTAAACGATCTACCGTATGCTTGAAGATGGAAGGCTCGTATTTATATTAATAAGTTATAAGCCTTACGAGAGTGCCTTGATGGGTTGACAGTATCTGACATGTAGTGGGAACCATATGTCGATGGATAGGAGGGACATGCATTGCATGACATTGCCTTTTTACTGGATGTATCAAGTGCAGAGCAATCTTAGAGGTGTGTCATCCAAAGTGGGTTTTACGATAGTTTGGCTTTGTACAAACTATTTCTCCAAGCCCATTGGCTCTATCCCATGCTAATCAAGAAACACCATCCAACCAATATGATGCTGTATATAACATCATGCATCGATTCTAGGATAGATGGGATATGCATGTTGAGTCGGTTAAGCATCAAGGTTAGAGATGTTAGAGACTAAGAAAGTGTTCATTTGACTATGATGCCTAGTTCATAGCAATTTCACACTGTCAAATTCAAAATCCAGAGCATCGATCTGAATTCTAGCTTTAGCCAATAGATATTGCATATATTAGTGATTCAGCAAGTTAGAAATTTTATTATTTTATGATTTTTTTATTAATTTGTTAATTTTATTATATGATATCAATATTGATAACTTTATTATTATTTTGTAATTAAGCTTGACCTTATTATCTTTTGTTAATCATGTATTAGCTGGTAGATTTGGTCAGAGTATTGACTATTGAAGAGATGCATTTATTAGAGAACGAGCCATATTAGACGGGTTTAACCATACTATTGTAGGTAGCAGTAGTTAGTCTAAATTGGCATCGACTCTTACACCATCAATTCATGCATTCAGACCATTTGTACTAGCCAGGTCACCAGTGCATGCTCCAACCATAATCTCATTGACATCGACAATTCTGAGCCCGTTGATGTCCTCTTCATCCTCAGTCTCATTGACATTAGCACCTCTCATTCCACTCTTGTTCGCGTCATCCTCACCATCAGTAGTAGTGACCACAACATCATCTTTGCTTGGCTCTTTCCCCTAAGTAGATATGATAGTATCAACCTTGTCAGAGAGTTTCACATAGACAATTGATCCCACTCATCTATTGTATGTATATCTTCGAGTTAAGAGGTCAAAGAATAAAGATTGATATATTTATTACTATGTACTAATACTGATTTTATATTTAGTTAATTGTGTTTAGATACTAATTTTATATTTAGTTAACTATGTTTATATTTAGTTTATATTTGTAAAATATTCATTAGATTATTACTTGTTCAATATGACACATCCCATTAGATAACATATTCAATATAACAATCATCTATTAGATAACATGTTTAATATATAAAGCATAAACAAATATAAACTGTAAACATTAATATAAACTATTAACAATTATTACAAAAAATAATCAATCAATGTGTACCATTTCTTGAGTGGTTATATCAAAATTTGTACTAAATAATAATTTGAAATCTTCAATGCGGGGTACATATGTAATCTCCCATCTTCAAGCATAATTATATTGAATCCTATACGAGTTGTATGCAATAAGAGGTATTGATGACAATGGCTTCATTAACACCTACATAAAATAGGAACAATAATATAAAAAGTAAATGACAACACCAATTAATAGTACTTACACAAAATGACAATCATTAATAAATCCAATAGTAATTAATTTCTATTCTAATGGTGCATGTGGTATAGATCTAATAGGGAGATATATCAGGCACTGTCTTAGACCGATGTGGACTAGCATGACGTTATATCAAGAGGTAATCAAATGACCTATATCAAGTAAGTTCACTCACTTATTGTATGAGGTAAAAGTGTTGAAACTCGATAAACTTTGTAACAATTCCTTAACACATCCCATAAATTCATACAAAGTCACATAATCGCCTTGAAACCGATTAAGCTCTTTAATTAGATCTCGTCACACCTATACCTAACCATCTAATCCCAATCTAAGCAACCCAGCAATAAAATGAAAATCACAATGTCCATCCACATCAACATTAATGATACTTTGTATATATGGATGTAACTCCACTAGCAAACTATCCAAATATCATATTTTTGTTTATTATAGGGTCGATGAATAAGAAGTTTAGCAATCTGTGTTCTTAGTTTCACTAAGTTTACAGTGGTTGGTGGGGATATACAATCTTGAGCTTATAACATAATCTCCAAGTGTGGCAAGTAGCATCATGTAGAGGTATCTATTTTTATACCTTTATGACCTTTTGTCTTAGCCATTTTTAATGGTGGCATCAAGGCAGTTATTGATAGGTCACCAAGTTCTCTCAACTTTCTTTTCAAAGCCAACTTATCGAACTCATCACATTTATTGAAACATTATATCATTTGGTCAATCTCAGACTAAATGGTTGACTCTTCAGATATTTCATTATCTTTGCTCTTCACTAAATCAAACTTTTTCCAATATGGATGCACTTCAGATAAAGAATTAAACTTTCTACCCTTATATGCTCTACAACTTCATGAGCACAAGGTAATCCATGTGAGCTTTTGATTACGTAATCATAAGCATTTGCATCAATTCTAATATGATTAGCTAACTTGACCTCTTTCAATATCATATTCAGTGTGCTCTTAAATATCAAACCTCGCAATTCTTTGAATAATGAAAGCTTGAAATTATGCTTTACAACGGTAAGACTTCACTCAAATAAAATCTTGATCTTTGAATGTTGGAACTCAATAAGTGTGTTGATTATCATCATGATGATTTGAAATTCCTTGAGATGATCTAATGTGCCTCTTTAATTTTGAATGTGTACTCTTATCTCTAAATGAAATAATAAAGGTATATTGATGACTTATTGTGAAACACTAACCAAAAACCATAAATAATCTTAACAATACAACATAAATTATACCTATTTATTGTAACATTGCCAAATTGTATTTCTTTATCCGTCTAAGCAACAATAAACTTTGACCTTATACTTTGCCAGCCATTAACCCTTCACATACTTTAATGCACTTGGATAAGTTTGTAATCAATTTCTAATGAGCTCAAATTCCTTTCGTACTCATCATAAGCAGATGAATATACTAGTACACTTCAATCGAACATGAATGCCTCATATTTCTCCTTCTACTTAAAAAACTTCTTACAATTTGTAAGCATATTTATGTTGATATACAATCTACAAAGAAGATTGATCATGCTTAGAAACACTGCTTCTATGGCATTCATCAATTTCAAGTCTCTATCATAATAATGAAGTAGAAAATATACTAGGAGGCATTAAATTTTTTAACTTATCCAATGCCTAAATGTAATTCTTAGAATGCTAAGCCCCCATGTACACAAATGCAATAGAAAATGTCATCTTAGTTGAAGTTACACCAACAATTTCAAGTAGTGGCATACAGTACCTATTTGTTTTATAAGTGCAATCCATAATCAAGACATTTAGACACTAATAGGATAAGCCTATAATAGGTCTTTTACATAATTGCTTCACTTGTTAGTCCTCCTATGTCACTTTAAGTATTTACAATTAGTCAATTTTTTCATCAATTGTTGTATTTGTGATATATCAACTTTTTCAACATATTTGTGCCTTTGACATTCATTTTATTTTTTTTATAATGCTAACATTTTTCTTATTATGTTGTTTTAGAGTTAATAATTTGTTTTTGGATCTGACCATACTGTTTGACATATCAATAACTAATCTTTTTTTTTTCAATTAATCGATCTACAAATCAATGTCCCTCTAATTTTTTGCTAGTAGATGATTGTGAAATCCATGGACTATTTTCACTCCCCATTCATCATCCATTACCAACTTAATCCCACATAACACAAATGGGCAACCACACTTTTTTGTTCCCATTCTCTTATGTTGCATTTCTTCTACATTGCCCTTATCTTTTAGCTATATGTATTTTCCACTTCGTGCACATATCAATCTTATTCTAGGTTTCCTCGAGCCTTCCACCTCAGAGTTTTTAATCATAATCATGAAACCTTGATTTTTTCTAATATGTCTAGCCCATGAAACCAAAACTTCTCTACTATAGAAACTAAAACTTTTCTACTATAAAACATCTGCTCAACATTTTTAACTTTTTACATATAAATAAACTAATATTCTATGCTTTTATACCTTCCAATAACACTAAACCTCAAAAACATATTCTTACATTTTTTGTAGTAATGATCTATGTAATCATATCTAGTATATAAATTGTCTAGTGATTGATTTTATCAAGATAATTTTCAAATTGATCTACATATCACAACATGTTAAAAAAATTTTATAGGAAGAACTATACTGATTTAAGAAAATTATAATATATTTTTGAAAATAAAATTTTGAAAATACAATATAATTTTTATAAATTTTGAAAATGTAATATAATTCTCGAAAATTCATTTCCAATAATACAACTTTCATAAATTCATTTTCGAAATTTATATTGTGTTTTCGAAAATGAATTTTCGAAATATATCATAAATTTCAAAAATGATTTTTCAAAAATATTAAATATTTTTTGAAATCTATTTCAAAACTTTATTATGTATTCTTGAAAAAGATTTTCGAAAATATAAAAAAATCAAACTCAATTAGGTAAAATTTTATTATCTCGTTGAACTTATCTCTCTCATTATTTTTTCTCATTTTTGAATCTGTTTTTACATAGTTTATAAGATTTAACAAAGGTTTCAACAATTTGATTTTAATTTTAAAGATTTAGAATTTAGTGTATAAGAAAAAAAATGAAGAAAGAAAAAGTAAGAAGAAAAAGTGTATGGAATGCATGAGAGTATGAAATTGTTATTTTTTTTGATAAATCATTAAAAGATAAAATTAATATTTACTAAGCAGATTTTTTTCTTAAAAAAATTATGAGGTGTAAAGTAAGAAATTTGTTATATATTTAGAACAACCTAAAGAGAAATAAATAACAGTGTGCTTGGAACCACCCTCTCCAAAATAGTAGCAGGCTGGCTTTCGTAGGCTGCTCGGCCTTCGGCCTGTATACACAACACCTCTATCACTAACCACTGCACTATCAGTTTCAATTTTCATTTCCCTCCAAATACAAATAAACCCTAAAATTATATAGCAATTAGCCGAGAGAGATGGTTGATTACAAGTTTCTTAAGATAGAGGACGCCATCCCTTGCATCAACCAGAAAGTTAACCTTATTGCCGTCATTCTTGACTTCAGTCTGCCCCAGAAATCCAGGGGCACCGGTGGGTATTCTCATTTCTTTACTATTTTTGGTCTGTTTCGCTACAGATCTAGATATGAAGCTCGAGTTTAAACTTAGATGTTTGATTCTGAACCATTTTTGGTGTCTATTAACGTTTTTCGTGGTTCGCCGTTTTAAATTCGTTTTTACAATCTGTGATTGTGACTGTAACTGGCCGTGATGACACAAAGGCCGGACTTACGGCTACTACTTCTCTTCCTTGGGTTGGTAGTAGGATGATGTTTGTTGCAATAAGGTGTTTGTGCTGAGCCAGTTGTCTCTATCTTTCTATACTTTGTAAAATCCTTAACATTTATAATCCGAATAAGGAAGCTGTGGAGATGTGGAAAATGATTCTCTGGGAAAATTTGTTTTTTATATTCTCGAGTCCTATTTTTCTGGTTATTGTAAACTTAATTTTGTTTTTGGTCTTCGTTTTGGCTAAGCCAGAATTTGCGGTTTTGCAGATTATTTCTGTAAGCTAAAAATAATTGATGAGTCACATCCCAAATATGGGATTCCCGTTCATCTATTTGCTCAATGTATCGGCGCTCTTCCTCATGTTGCGTCTGTTGGAGATATTATTCACCTTTCTCGTGTCATGGTATAATCTTGTGTCCAAAATATTTTCCTGCCTCTTTCCTTCTGTTTTCTTTTCTTTTCTCCTTAATATTGGTTATGTTTGTTCGTTTAATATTTCACTTTAACTTTTTTATGGAAACAATTCTATATTTTGTTGAAGCACTTTTTTCCGTAAATGGAAAACTAACAAATTCATTTAGACAAGTGAAGAGGGGATTAGGAAGAAATGAACAGAAAAATGTCTGCACTTAGATCTTTCATCTAAGTTACCTTATAATTGAATCTGATATAGTACATAATAGGCTTTCATGGCAAGGTAGTTGTTCGAGATACTTCCAATGTGTATTCTCCTCCCCCCAAATTCACATATACCTATACACAACTAACTAGTCTAGTGTGGCTGCAGGCATGCGTGTGTCTATAATACTAAGGATTCTATTTATTGTAGGAGTTTGAGCTTTGACACGCTTTTCTGAAATTATTGGGTTGTTGAAGTATGGCTGTTATTAGGAATTTGATGTGCATTTTGCTGTTTATGATTCCATAAAAGGTTTAAAAAACTATTTTTCCCCGAATTTATGGGACTGCAACTTCTGAAGCTATTGGACTGTAGGATAAATTGGAGAAAGTCTTACAAATAAGATTTTGACAATTTGAGGTTAGGTTTTAGAATTGTTGAAGTATGGTTGTTATTAGGAAACTCTTTTGCTTTCATATTTATGGTATTAGTACTAGCAATTTAAGATTTTATTTTATAGATTCTGACTGTTTTCATGTGCAAGGGCAGGTTGAAAATTTTAATTCCTTTGCCCAAGGGTTAAGGTTTTGTTGAGTTTTGATTATAGAGTTTTAGGATTTTAGTTTATTTTCTTGAGGTCTAAGTTGGTTATTTACTGGTTTAGTAGTTAGTTTAGGTTACTAATTCTAGTTGATTTTGTAGTAGTCTAGTACAATAACAACAACAACACACTAAGCCTCATATCCCTTACTCTGGGGTTGGCTGTATGAAAGACCTAATAAGGGAGTCAAGTTGGGTTGTAGTTTGAATCTTCTTGCGCCACTCATTTCTATCAACAACAACCTTTTCATTTAATTCCTTAACCATCATATCTTTTTTTATTACTTGTATCCATGTCTTTCGTGGTCTATCTCCAAAAGGTTTGATCTCTCTTAGATCTAAAGACTTAATTCTCCTTACTAGTGCATAGTTAGGCCTATGTTTCACATGTCCAAACCATCTCAAACGATCCTCTCTCATTTTCTTCTCAATTTAGACTATTCTTCATTTTTCTCAAATCTCTTCATTTCTTATTTTGTCTCTTCTAGTCTTACCAGACATTCATCTAAGCATCCTCATCTCCACTATGTTCATTTTCTTCTCATGTTGTTTCTTAGTAGCCTAACATTCAGTTCCATATAGCAATGCAGGCCTTATAGTTGTTTTATACAACTTTGTTTTTAACTTCAAAGGCATGCTACGATCACGTAACACATTCGATGCACTTCACCACCTCACCCATCCTGCTTGAATCTTGTGCTTGACATCCGTTTCTATCTCAGTATCACTCTAAATAATTGATCCCAAATATTGATACTGGCTACTTTTTGGTGGTTCCTCACCATCCTACTTAATCACACTAGTACCCGCTTCCCTATGATTCCTAAACTTACATTCCATATATCCAGTTTTATATCTACTCAATTTAAAACCCCGAGACTCCAATGTACTCTTCCATACTTCTAATTTCGTATTAAAGTCATCACTAGTTTCAGGGACTAAGACTATATCATCGGCAAATAACATACACCATGGAACCTTATCTTGGATACGTCTAGTGAACTCGTCCATAACTAATGCAAAAATAAATGGACTTAGTGTTGAGCCTTGATGTAATCCTAAGGTAATGGGGAAGCTATCTGTCATGCCCCCAATCGTCTTCACATTTGTTACAACTCCTTCATACATATCTTTAACTATGTTGATATACTTTAAATGGACTTCTTTCTTCATCAAGGCCCACCAAAGCACTTTTCGAGGAACTCTATCGTATGCTTTCTCCAAATTGATAAATGCCATATGTAGATCGTTCTTTTCACTAAAACTCTAATAAAAGCCTCAAAAGGTGGATTGCTTATATTGTGGAGTGTCCTAGCATAAACCCAAATTGGTTTTCAGAAATAATGATCTCATGTCGCAACTTACATTCAATTACTCTCTCCCAAAGTTTCATAGTATGACTCATAAGTTTTATTCCTTGATAGTTCGAACAATCTTATATATCACCTTTATTCTTGTATAAAGGCATTCAAGTGCTCTTCCTCCATTCTTCTGGCATCTTTTGAGTGCGCCAAATTTTGTTGAAAAGATCTATCAACCATCCTATCCCTATTTCACCCTAGCAGTTCTAGACTTCAATTGGGATTCCATTTTGTTCAACAGCTTTCTTTACTCTCATCTTTCTCAAAGCTTATTTAACCTCATATCATTTAATAATATGTTTAAACGCACGATTTACATTCTTAAACGGTATGTTCAACCCACCTATATCATGCTCAAAACTGCTATTAAAGAGATTATCAAAATAATCTCTCCATCTCTTCTTAATCTCCTCATCTTTCACTAAAACTCTTCTATCATTGCCTTTGTAGTAGTCTAGTAATTATCATAAATACATATTTATCTTTAGATTTCAATATTAATAGAATTATGATTATTTTGGGTTATTGAGGCATGGATGCCAAGAATTTCGCTAGTTTCTTTTTCTTTCTCTTTGAGTCATCCCCCTTATCCTTTTTTTTTTTTCTATGTTCTTGGGTTATGCTTCACTGCACAAGAACCTCCTATTTTAATCTAGCATTTTTCTCTTCTTTGCAACTGAAATCACATCCCTTTTCTTCAGACTCCAACCCTGGTTCTTGGCCACAGTTTCTATCAATTCCCAGCAGTCAACCCCTTAATTAACCAATTAAAGCGCTACTTTCTTACTTTGAAGAATTTCCTGCAACTGTTCTCTTTGTTTTCAACCCGTATTAAAATGGACTGAATTGATTTAAAACCTGATGAATTCTTAAGCCTGATCTGAATTTCTGTATAGCCATAAACCAAAAACCCCTAAGTTCCGATCCTATTCCATTACACATTCTAAGTTGGCAGACATCTCCAAGTGTATCCTACATCAGGAAGTAGGTTATAGTTATGGTAGATGGACCGCATGATAGTTTTGGTGTTGATTAGGTTTGGTTCAAAAGAAATTTATGCTTAAATCGAAAGGATTGGCTGCTAGACTTTTTCATCTATAAGATTAGGGTCCAATCAGTATGCATTTGTCTGTACTTTGGATAAGGTTTAGCATTTGAAAAATATGAGAATGGAAATGTGAATTAGACTGAAAAGTTAAGAAGAAACTGGTTAAAGGATGTAATTACCAAGTTGTGAATGATAAACTGATAGCAATGTAGCAATAGAAAGAATAAAAATGGGAAAGAGTAATTGAAAAGGGGAGAGAATTGAAATAAAAAGAACAAGTACACTTAAGGCAGATCACTCAAACAATAGTTTGTTTGATAACATATCAACAACTCAAGTTTCTGTTAAAATCAATTTGCCAAACTGAAGGTATGAAGTGATCTATTTAGCAAAAGTTATTAGATTAGATCACAGCAATTTAAATAAATAAAAAGTTTGGAAATATCCTATTTACCCAACTAGAATCAAGATAAGGCCTCAATGACCAAAAAATATCAAGGCCTATTTCAGAAAAAGAAAAATTTTCAAAAACCTAGATATGAAACTCAATTTGACTGATAAATTACTGTATTAATGGCTTATTAACTACCAAAGTAACTTATGTTTGGAACAAAAGACTTCTATATCGTTGAAGAACCAAACTACCTTTTAGCCCTTGTTATCCAAAAGGATAGATAAAATTTATCTAAACAAGCTATTTTTTTACTGTTAAAATAATCCCAAGTATTTCTGAGATGGATTTTGGCCATGTTTTAAACTCCTTTAAGCATTTCTGTAACTGCCGTTATATTTGCCTGAAAGTGCAAAATTTGCATCAGCAATTAAATACTGCATCATGGGGATTCTCTTATGCTTCTAGTTAAGCTTGCTGTAAAAGAACTACATCTCTTATTTATATTTTTATACTGGCTAAGAATAATTTACGGCCAGCAGTGATGTATCTCTCCCACTCCATCTTCAATGGCTCCAATTTGTCTTTGTAGTGTATCCTTTAGCCATTAAATAGGGCATTAAGTTTGCAGTGAGTATAAAGAAATATATTAACATATTGCAGTGAGCATGTCATTGGTATATATGTCACATTATCTAATGGCAAGGAGTAAAAAAAAAAAAAAAATTAATTGTATGATTTTGTGTTCCCTTACTTTAGGAATTTTTTTCGGGTGGTTCATAAGTCTAGGTTCTGAATATTATCAACTTTTAAGAGCCAATGGTCAGTGAATATTGACCTTAATGTGTAATATATTATTGCATTTCTTATATATGGTTCTTTTTTAGATTATAAGAAGATTATTTTGAGTTGTAGTTCATGCATACTTATTAACCTCCAAATGAGTTGTCATAATGCAAGCAAGCAAAATCAAGACAATTCAATTTGTAGACTAGACTGCATTAGTTGTTTTAATTTGATTGATAAATAAAATCAAATTCAATGTAATATATCTACTAAATATTAATTGTTTATAGGTATAATACAAGCTACTCCCATGCATTTTGCTGAAGTAGTCTTGTCTTTTAATTTAGCACTCGGTATTGTTCTTTGATTATGTTGTTGAAGATAAAATCGTAAACTTATTCTCAGGTCCTCAGCTATCAAACTGAGCTTTTAGGTTGACCTATTTTTGGGATGATATTAGAGCCTTCTGAACTTGTGGTCTAGCATTGGAGGCATGTTGCTTTAATTTTGATAAATAAATTGTAATACAATAAATGAGGTGGTTTATGCATAGTCCTTGCTAGCCCCTCGCATGAGTGCAATGGGCTTGCAGATGAGAGTGCTTCCTCACATAATAGCATAAGCTTTTATATTCGATGATTTTATAACTGCTCAAACTAAAACCTTGACACTTTACAGCTCTACACACTCCCAAATGCACAAGCTTCTTGCGTTTTCCATTTGGTCAAATGACAAGCTTATCATATACTTTATGATGAAAGTTTATAGCTAGAGGTGGCAAATCTAGCCTAACTCGACTCAATTGGCTCAAAATTGAACCTAAAATTGAGTAAAATAGCTTAATCAGATGAATCCAAGATAAGATAACCCGATTTGGAAATAACTCAAAAGTAATGACGAGATATCTAAATTAACTCAATTGAAAGTAACTTGTAATTTGAAATGATTTGATATTTGTGGTAACTGGCCCAAATTTGAATTGATCTAAGACCTAAAATGATCCAAATTTATTTAAATGGTGCTCAAGCCAAATTTATTTAGTAAAATTAAATATTTAACATTTAATCTCAAAGTGTATAATCAATAGGATAAATACATAGGCTAAAAAGAAAAGAATTAATTATATATAAATGCAAAGAGGTAAAAGGTGAACATTTTAGGAAGAAATATATGGTCCAAAAGTATTTAATACTATAAGAAATAGTTGTAGGAAAACATGTGAATCAAGGCAATTAAATCTTGTTATAGTGATTGAACCTATGTGAATTAAGATATTTGCATATTTTCCTATTTCTTTGTTTTAACCTTAGATTAATGCTTCGAAATTTAGTTCATGGTAAATTTATGGTCCAAAAGCATTTAATACTTTAAGAAATAGTTGTAGAAAATCATGTGAATCTAGGCAATTAAATTCTAATATAGTGATTGAACTTCATGTGAATTAAGATATTTGCATATTTTCCTATCTCCTTGTTTTAGCCTTAGATTAATGCTTATAAATTTAGTTTTATCTCATATTTACTCTTACGTAATTTAATTTTGAGATTAGTTGTTTGTAGCATACATTTTAGTTGATTGTTATTTATATATTGTTAAGTGTTAGATTCTCCAAATGAGTAAAACATTGGTGCTATATATAAATGATAATCCTTTATGCTTTCATCCTTTAACTGTATTTTCTCAAATTGTTCTATTTATTGACAAACATATTGCAAAAGAAGAGCCTCAATTGAAAATTGCTTAAAACTCATTGTGAGTTCAATAAATGAAGTGATCTAAACCCAATATGACATAATATGAAATAATTCAAGCTGGACATGATTTGATTTAGAATGACTCGAAGCCTTGAGTGACCTAATGGATGAAATAACCCAAACCCAAAATGACCTTTGATCTTAATAAGAAATGACTTGACTTGAAGCCAGTCTGACTTTTCTGATTGCCACCTCCATTTATAACCGTACGTTGGCAAGCAGGATTTGATCTCTCGGCTAAGTTAAAGAGGCTTTGGTTGCATGTCAAACAATCATCCTGAAAGTTTAAGCTATTAGCTTAGGGCATGAGTGTGACTTAATCTTCAACATTTTATGTAGTATTTCTTACTGTATGAACAATGCTCAGCTTGATAGAAGAGATCTTCTACTTTTTATAGACTCTGTAAGAGACAATTGTATTGCCTTCTAGATTCATATTTTTCATTAACCACGAATGGTGTTTTTTTCTTTTATAAATTTAGTTTGAAAAGCATAATTACCTTTCTGCAGATGAAAACTCATGAAGGAGATGTATATGCTATATTCAACAAAAGGTTTTCTTCATTTGCTTTATATGAAGGGATAGATGGTGAAAATTTCCATCCTTATCAAGTTTCTTTAAGATTTCACGCAAGAGAACAGGATAACAAGATAATAGCAGACCTGAGAAAATGGTTAGCAAATTCAAAGGTTATTGATGGTATGCTCTTCGTTTGCTAGTCATATCTATATTTCACCTTTTCTACGTATATTTAAAAAAAAATCTATATTCACCTTTAACTAGTCGATTAAATGTCTTTTAAGTATCAATAATTATAATCTCTCAATTAATGTTAATCTGCATCTCTCAATTAATGTCAATCTGCATTTTCACACTCTAACAAATGTGTACGGTTGGAACAGTTTGTGTTTTGAAGCTGGTTCTACTTTTACTCCATTTGCTTACTTTTAGTTAAAAAAATTTCAGAAACTTCTTATCACTATTTTGTCCCTTCTAGATTCCATTTTGACATGATTATTTAACTTTTTTGGTTGATGTTCATTTTAAGGGGTTTTTTCTATTTAAAATTTTTTCATCGTGCTTTCTATTCCCGGGTGATCCACTAGACTGAGGTTGATTTCTTCTCCCTATCCTCCATTCTTGAAGCCGTTCAGGGTTGCATCTGCAGTTTACCAGAGCTTGATTTTAGTTCAACTTGTCCTTGAAGAAAGTTTGAAACTTGTGGTAGTTATAGAGACCCCTGAACTGGATGGTAGTTAAACACATAGGTATAAACAAACAGAGTTTCTGCATATCTTAGCATGTTCTCCATGCTATTATATTAGGAGTAATAGAAGTGATATTACGTAGTGGGCTTGGGCATTAATGGGCTGCACTAGATTGAGCCACTTGGTGCCAGGCCTATCTTCCACCTTTTCTTTTTGAAGAACTCTTTTAATGTTTTAGTTTTTTAAAGTACTGGGCTGAAAGTGGCTTGATATGAGGAATAGATTGAAAGGTTATAATAATAGTAGTTAACAGTGCACCTTCTTCTCTTGGAACTTCTATTGTCAACTCTGATTACCATGTAAGTTGATATATTTAGAATTAGCTTGAATAGGACAGTTCCTGAATTGACCCCTTTTAACTCTTTTTAAAGTTCTGACAAATACACAACACACATCATATATCTATATATCAATACTCAAAGATATTGACTTGCGACGCTAAAAAATGCATTGGGATTTTGGTTCCATGTATTTAGACATTCAAAGTTTTGCATGTGCACTAGCTTTTTTGATGATTCTGTCCTCTAATTATGATACCAAATATCTGGTCATTCCCATTACCCAATATAAAACCTTTTTCCTTTTTGTGCTTGGTAGTGTCGATCAACTTCTTATTATTGAGAGAGATCAACGAAGTGGATTGGATAAATTTAGCTTGCAAGGTATTAAATCATATCTTTGATTTTCCTCTTTTTTATTTTTGTAGTTGGTATTGTTTAAATATGTCCAATGTAATTATAGGTTAATACTGCTTTTTGATAATTTCAAGGTCTGCTGATGTATCCTCATATTTAATGTTTGGCCCTACTAAGGTACTTCATATATGCAAAACTGCTAAAGATGAGTGGATGGTCTTTCTTTGGGATGGAACTGATGCTCCACCCTTCGGTATTTATAAAAAGTGAGTTAGTGTCTTTTAATTGCTTCTCACTGTTTATATTTTCACCGGAAGCAAATGCTAGGGTTTGAGGGACTTTGCAATCCTCTTGTTTTTCGCATTGCATCATTGACACATGGTTCCATGTAAATTCTGATATATCAACTTATAACAAAGCATTTGGCTATGCTTCAATGCCATGTATGGGACTGGTGTTATTTTGTCCTTTTTTTTTTTTTTTTTTCACTCCCACGGGAATTCTATCACATTTCTTTGAAAGTTATTTAATGGCTTGAATTACTAGGATATTTAGAAAAGCTAACTGGGTATAGAAAACCTATTGTTCTCTCTCCCCCAAGATCAGTAGTTACACATTTGTACTGGAAGCTTGGTTAAGGTAGTATGCATATCAGTCAAGTAGGCCAGTGAATGAAATTGCAGATTGGTGGCTGTGGCTATGCGCAATACTTGCTGTTCTCTTGAATGCATTTATTGGCCCCGTTGCCTCTCTTTTCCGTTTGAAGAAGGTTTTGCTAGTTGCTGATCTTTCTTGCATGGCTGTTAATTATATACATAGAAACTAAAGATGAATTTTCAAGTTAATTGCCGTATGTTTCTATATCGCAAAGGCATGGTTGTTCCAACATTTGTAGAGTGTATCAGTCGCAATTGACTTTTGTGTTATTGGTAAACTAGATGCTGTTACCTGTAGAAAGCAAAAGTTAGTATAGGTAAAGATGAAAATGAGGCTGGTGAAGTATACATTGCACTATATCTTCTGGGAGCTGGAGGTTGTTGGATTAATTATTTTTCCTGAAAGGGTGGTTTTTCCTTTCTCATTGCATGGAGCTTATTGGCTTGTTATCTTCCAATTTTATGTTTGGAAAGGCTCTACTTTGCTATTCAGAGTCTATGTGACTTATATATGGTAATGAGTGTTTTTAGCTTGAGATTAGGCTTTATCTTATCATGTTAAAAGAAGATTGTGGCTCAGGATTTGCTTTTAAAGTTGTGGTTAGCTTAAAGTAATGCAAAGCAGGCGGTTGGTTAACATAGCTACATTTTCGGTGGAAGCACTCATGAGGTGTATGCAATTAGAGTTTCAATTAGTTCTTTTATGAATTACGAGTGTTCTGATGGAAGAAAACTTTAAAGCCTAAATTATGATGTAATAACATGAAGCCAGTTATTCTAATTCAGTATGTTATCCTATCCTTTCCATGCATTAAGAAAATTAGGTTTCTTAAGATCTACATATGGGAGATAGAGTTTAGTGTTTAGAGGTTGATTAAAGGTGGAAAGCTCCCGGCTTAAGGCTGTTTGTCTTGTTGAAAGTGAAGAATATTTTGTGGAAAATTTTGGCAGTTGGGACATATTTGCTGCTTTTAATAGGTTGATATTGGTCTGAACATTTGCACAAGATTTATTAGGGGTAGTATGGGGATGCAATTGAGGAAGAAAGTTGTGGGTGGTATTCCAGCTATGTGCAGTGTTAGGTTGGTTATATTTTCTTTATGATGTTATAGTTTTCTAGTTACTCAAGGTAACATGTTAGGTTATAGAACTCTCATATAAACTTGGAAAAGGAAAATCAGATCTGGTTGTGGAAAGAATAGTTTATGGAGATTTAGAAGATGATGAGAAAAGGAAAAGACTGCAAGAGCGCAAAATATTCGGCATTCATGTTTTTATAACGTCATTATTTGTAATTTCCTCAATGTGAAACCTAGCATAATATGAAAAGCATATAGATATTTATGGAAACTTTAAAAACTAATTGCTTGTCTTCCAAAGATTTGGATTTTGGAGTCTTAAATAGGGGATAAAGTACATTGTGAACTAGCAAAAAGAATAAACTGCACTAGGTAAGCACTATAAATTAAAGATAAATTAATTCCAAGTAAATTATGAACTAAATTGTTTAAGGTATGCAAAGTGTGCTGGACGTGTTTGGCCGAATATCAATGCTTATTGACTATTAGGTATTAGCAAACTTGTTCTGCAACATTTTACTTCAAGGTATGACATATTGGCGACTTGAGATGGCTGATTATTCAAATTAAAAACTATTTGCTTCTAGGTTTTTGTCTAATTGATTTGATGCCCTTGTATCATAACTGCACTCAAATATTTTCTTCTTCCAAATTTTAATTTATCTTCAGGTCACCATTGGTATTTTTTCTTCTTACAACTTCTAAAGGTTTGACAAAAAAAGGGAACTAAAATTATTAAGAAAAGCATAAAATCTATATACCTGCACTTTTGAGATTGACAAAGATCATAACACCATTGACTCCTATCTAATGAGGTAATTTTCTTTTCCATCTCTATTAAGCATGAAGAGTAAGGTGGGAAGTCTGAAAATATTAATGAAACACCCATGAAAGTCACTTTGGAGAAGCTTCAACTTTTAGCTGGTCTGGAAACCCAAATTAACTTCCTGATAAGCTAAAAATATTAGAAGTGAGATTGCTAAACATCTAACTTCAGCTTATAGAGTAGAAAAGCTTTTTTAAAAGCTGGGCCAAACACCCAATTAGGGAGACTGTCAGATTGATGTTTGAGTTTGGTAATTTCTAGAACCTTAGAGTTGCCACGTTGCCAAAAATACTGCAGAAGTATAGGTGAAGCTTTCTAAAGTTACATAGCAAAAAACAAGCTAACTTTTCCTTATAAGGCTGCAATAATATGCACGCTTCTCTTATAGTGAAGTTTCTATAGCATGAATTTAGACCCAATGAGCTGCCATTATGTTGATACTGTTGACAAAAGATTTTTCTAGCAACCAACCTTTTGTTTTGTTTTGTTTTTTTCAATTTTTATTCAAATACTTAAAACTTCAAAATAGTCATTTACATTTATACATAATTAGTGAGGTTTTGGGTTTGAATGAGCTAGCTGTTGTCTATTACTGTTATGTTACTACTTTGACGTAAAAAATAAAATAAAAACATGGACTACTTTGAAGGGAATACATGTGCATTCCTTTCCACCTTTGTGACAGTATCTTCTTAAAATTCAAATCCGGTCTGTCAACAGTTTTAACTCTGTTATGATCAAAGTTAACTTCATTAATGACTAATGCGTAAATGAATAGGTTTTAGTTTTGTAAACACAATATTGATGCTTGCTATGTCTGAGGTTTTCTTTTTTTTTTTTTTTTTTTATTTTTATTTGGTATTCTAACAGATTTATTCATGTTAATGACTATACTCCACAGGCTCGAAGATGAAATGCAAAACCAGCTTCCTTTATGTTTGGAACCCATGCCTTTATCAAGAGATGTGCTATGTACATTTCCCACCGTTGGAACTATCTTAAGGGTGATCATTAATGAAGATTGCAGAAAATATACCCCTCAGTTGCCGAAAATTGGTCAATGGGTGAAACTTTTTCATGTATTATGCAAAGTGCATGAAGGATTATGGTATGGTGTGTTGACACCATCTTCGAAGATCCGAGATATACCAAATGACAATATGCTCATACTCGAGCGCCAGAGGTGATTTTTTTTTTGCATGTAGCATCTTATTAACCAAATAGATTATGTATTCCTTTTGATTGATGTTCTTTCTGGAAGTTCAATTTCTCACTCTTTTACTATATCCATCCATGTTAGCAATTATGATCACCGATTATCATGCAAACTGGATAAGATGCCATATTGGAGCTTTCCGTGGCCGTCAAGAATTACAGGTTCCATGTTGTTAGTGACTATAATTTGTTTTAAGTTCTCATTTATTAGCATATTTGATTCAATCTCCTGGACTCAATTGTTGCATTTTTTCCTGGAACCAATTGAAAATGATTAGTGATGATATACTTTAATATTTGTCCGTCCTTCCTCAGAGGTTAACTGCGATGATGTGCCATTTGCAACCTTGATGGACGTTCTCATGTGTCGAAAGGTATTATACCCTTCAGCTTCTTTTGACTACATGGATATGGTTATTTTGTTAAAAGTAATAGAGGGTACTAATTTACCTGGTAAACATATGGAAATCAAAGCAATTTTGTTCTTTGTTGCATTTTATTAGGTTGGTGACGGCCTGATTGTTTGATTGAAGATTCTTCTTCTCTTTCATCCTCTCTTTTCTGAAAAATGAGGTGCTCCTATAATTTGGGCATTTATATTTATTATTCTTTTTAGTATTTTCAAACCCTAAATCTAAATATTTGGATATGTCAAACAGTTCCTTTTACAATCTTTTGCATATCTTTCAAATTTGTCATTCTATAGAAAGCAATGGAGTTAATTGCTGAACCCTTTGAAAACACCCAGAAATAGTCACCTCCCTCCCTCGCACCCCTTGTTGACCCAACCCAAGCCAATTTCATACATTGCTTTCACGTGGGACCCATTTTCCCTAACACACAACCATCCATGTTATTGATCTGTCAAGATTAGCTGGGCTCAGATTGAATTTGTTTTGAATTCAGTTGAAATTCGAAACTTTTGGCTGCAATAATTGGTTTGAGTTTTGTAGTGTACAGATTTTTGGTTTCTGCAAGTTTGGCTGATTAATGGCTGTAGTACCTGGTTGTGATGGTGAAAGTTGGTTCCGACTGGCAGTGGGTGGCAGGATGGTCTGAGTGGTTGGGCACTGGTTGTTTGCTGTCTTATTGTGATGACAAAGATGATTTTCTTCTCTTTTTGTTTGCAATTGTCTTGAATATTCCCTTTTTTTTTTTCTTTCAAATGCCAGTTCTATCCCCTTCTTTTGATTGATATCCTCTCCTTTTATCTTCATGTCTTCGTTTATTTAGGGGAAATAAGAAAGATTATTGGTGAAACTGCCACCTGATTGGTGGCTATACCTAATATAGTCTGGTGAGCACCACATTGGTTAAAGAGGAGTGAGCTTAATGGTTTTAACCTTTTTTTCTTCAAAACTTGAGCAAGGATCCATATCCTCTCTTACTTCATTTGTTCTTATATATATAAAGTTGGTGATGGTCACAGAAAGAAAGCTTGGAATTTGGGTCAAAAGGGGGGAGACTTTTCAGGGTGTTTCCAGGAATGGGAAAGAGTAAAGAGTAAAGGGGGGGGGGGGGGGTGGTGGTGATCATGTTTAACTTGATGGCAAAGGCAGCATTAAGCTAGAGAATACGTTTAACTGTAGTTTTGCTTTTGTGTTGCTCGGATAACCTTACAGGTAAGAAAGAAATTTAGGTGTGTAGTACGAGTTGTTGCTGCAATTCCATGGCGAGTTGAGGATTTCTGCTCTCCTCCTGGAATTTATAGGGTTAGGTTCGCTCTAGAGGATCCGACTGCCAGAATACATGCTTTTGCTTATGCTGAAGATGGGGTAAGGACATTATTGTACTACCATTTCTCTTCACATTTATAAATCTTGTGGTGAGATGATCTTTTAGACTTTTCTAGTGTAAAATCGTTTTACATGATTGCAAATATTTAATGATAGTCTTCATTTAATAGTTGACTCCTACTCCCCCAAATGTAAACCCAAAAGAAAACAACGAAGAATAAAAAGCAAGAGTGTAGGAAAAAACTTCCTCTTGCCCATAAGCAGTTACGTATTTTGAGTCTCTGATGCCAATACCTATAAGAAACTTTTCCTTCAAGTTTTGAGATATAAGGTTCTGTAAACCTTAGGATGACCAAAACCTGCATGATATAATTTTCTTTAACAAGTGTCTCAAACAAAAAATTAAGAATTGAGGGGAAATATAAATTCGGAGCCACAGCAACAGGAAAAGGAAAACCTTGGAAGCCCATTCTGGGAATCTTTCTAAACTTGCCTACTTGTTTTTGTTTTCTTCAGCTGAATATCTGCTTACTAAACTTGAAGTGTGTTGCATCTGCTGATTTGATTTTGTAAAATATTCGTCTGTCTTGTGAAATTGAAGTTTACTAGTATATTATATGCTTTTCTCATAGCTGTTCTACATTATTTGATTCTGTTTTACTGCATTTCTTCATCCATAATAGGCGAAATTTTTCAACGGTTATTCCTCCGATGCATTGACACAGAAGCTAATTAAATTGCTTGGGGTAGCTATAAGTGCTGGTGGCATGGAAATTAAGGGTGCCGCTAGAAATCCCCCATGGGTGCAGTGTTGCTTGAAATCTCATTACCTCAAGTGCTATAAGATCTGTGACACCAAGCTTGTCGGTTAAAGAGTTTGACCGCAATTTGTCGATATCTACTATCTAGGAGTAACTATGGAAAAGGGGTGCTTGTTTATTCTATTGGCTTTTGCTCTTGGTAGGTAAACATTTCAAATTCAAAAGAATTCGTTTATGATGGTCAAGAAAAGAAATTTCCTATTCTTGTATATTAAGGGCATGAAAAAGAAATGGGAAATTATGTCTGAGCTTTAATATTTTTTTATTAATATAATAATATTTTAGATTAGATTAAATTAAATCAAAACTTAAAAAATCATGTACAAAATTTGACTTACGCAAAAATATGATCACAAGTTTAATAAATAGTCTTTCCAATGAAAATTTTCTTTTTTTTTTTTACAAAAATCTATTCCCTTTAAAAAAGAGGAAACAATTTTCCTAAAAATAATCCTATTTTCTATTGATTAATAAGAAATCATATTCCATTGACCAACCAATAATTTTTTGCCAAATAAATACCAACAAATATAACAATCATTTTTCAGACATTTTTTCACAAATCAAAAGAAACCTTAAACAGTTGTGAATTTGTGTTTAAGGAAATTACTTACCCAGGGCATTGGGTCTTCAACTCTCATATTTTGTCGGATCAGTAGGCCATGTTTCTGGGATTATTTGTTTTTTTGACATTCTACTTATTCGTCTTGTTTAAAAGTTTTTTTTTTTTTATTTTATTTTGGTGTTGTTTGCTTTATTTAAAAAACATTTCGATTCATAATCAACAGAAAATTGTCAAGTGATTTTTCATGGAAGCGCCAACCGAACAAAGGGGGAAGGAGAAACATCCCTAATCAACAATGCGGTGTAAACAAATTAATTTAATTTAATAAAGCAACTAATTCAAGTGAACTCTCTTTGCTAACTGAAATTGGCATACAATACATGTTTTGATATGATGAGACGCAAAGAGCCATTTTTCAACTGAAACATTCTCTACGGTACAATGTACCAAAGCCAAAAAACCAAGCCGACCTGTTACCTGTACAATATGTATATTGCTTGCTATGGAAATTTTAACTTACTTTTCAGATGACCATGAGCCAATTACACATCTAATCTGAATACCAGCAGCTACAAATTAGCAGACACCGAGTACAACATGCTCGTTAGGCTGGTGTGCCCCTACAGCAGCAACATGACTGCGTTGCTGCTGACAAAGGTATAGAACAGTGAGTAGACAGACAAATAGAGTCAATATTGTTGCATTTCCTTCCTCCATGATCACATTCACCCACTCTTCCACTCTTGGATAGACTTCAGGCAGGAAATCGATTACATGGACCTAATAAAGAAACAAAAATCATTGAGTCAGAGGACTAATTAGAACAATTGACGGATATTCAGCCATCCCCAAGTGACAAAGAAAAAGAAAAAAAGAACCAATTTTTTACCATCTGACCGATCCATTTTCTTGACTAGAAGGCAGAATGAATAGAAAAAACTTCGCATTCATCTACCAATAACTAATCATTTTCAAGATTTCTTTCTTTTCTTCCACAACCAACAAAAAATAAATGAAATTCTATAACTATTTAAGATTATATTTTATGCCATCAGTGTTAAAATTCATTACGGGGTGTAACAACAAATGACCAGCTAAAACGTGCAAAACCATTCTAAAACTCTGTTTGTTTTCTTGTATTGTTCCTTTTCTTAGGGAAGTTCCAATTTATCATGGAATTTCTATCATGATTTTCAAGAAAAACAGAATTCCATGGTTTTCTTCCACATACCAACCTAATCAGAATGAACAACCACCAAAAAGGAGCATAAAGAATGTATAGAAAGTTGGTTAGCCTATTATCTCTAAAAAGATGTAAAAATAATTTTGAGATCCATTTGTGTTCACGAGTCTTAGAAGAAATTCTGATCACTGTCTTAAGAAGCGTATAAAGTGCAATCAACTTGCATGCAAGGACATTATATTAATTATCAATATCTAAAAACTAGAGCTGCTTTCAAAGTGCTTGAAAATGCTAAGCTTGGTTCTTGTTTTACAGTTAAATTCTTGTGGTAAGGGGAATGAGAACCGTGAGAAAACACTTATTTATAACTGGTTTATCTCTAAACTTAAGTATTTATATCCCTAGAATTAATGACAAAAAATTAGTATAGGCAATCCTTCAATTATAGGATCAGTTTTTAGGAAGATTTAATTTCCTAGTTTAACTATTAGTTAGTTGTATAATAAACCTAAGGTGCTTGTATAATTTTTAATGACCAATTTTTCAATATACATTCAGTTTTTTCTCTTAGTTTTTTTCACACAGTTTTATTTTTTAGTTTTTTCATATGGTATCAAAGCTTTAGGCTCTTTTTGGGAAGCAAAATTTTTAGCCTTCATTACCGAGTTCTATTTTAGGCCTTTATTGTCGAACCCTGTTCAGGCCTTCATTGTCGAATCCTGTTAAGGGCTTTATAGCCATTTTATTTTTCCCTTCTTTAGCCTTCATTGCTAAGAGTAATTTCTGCTTATATCTTAAGACTTATTCAGTTCAAAGAAAGATATCACTACCACCCAATTTGAAGAAGTGCCAACTGAGAAAATCATCGGAGTACTACAGATGTCTCGAAACTAAAAAGAGTTGGACAGAGAAGAAATTAAAAAACTGAGAAACCTATTGAAAACCCTTGAAAAGCCTACTAGGGTATGTTCCTTGGGTAAGGTCTCTAACTCAGGTAAAGCTTCTAGTTCTCATGGATTAAATGTTTCAGTTAAGCCTATTACGAGTTCTTAGGTCATTGACTCAGGAGCCACAAACCATATGACATGTTCCTCACAGAAGTTTAGTACATATATCCTGTGTCCTAGTAATAAAAAAATTGTTATTGCAAATGGTTCACTTACTATAGTGGCAAGATTAGGAGATGTTCAAATTAATCCCTCGTTTGTTCTTAAAAATGTTCTTTGTGTTCCTGAATTGTCTACTAATCTGATATTTATACAAAAACTTACCAGAAATATGAGCTGCAACATGACTTTTTATCTCTCCTATTGTGAATTTCAGGACCAAAATTTGGGGAAGAGGATTGGACTTGCTAAGGAGAAGGATGGACTATACTATCTTGAGACATCAAACAACACAACTAATATCAAGAATAGTTTACCTTTGTCATTTCTTTATGAAAAATCTCCTAATAAAGAAAAAATTTGGCTTTATCATTTTTGTCTTGGACATCCTTCTTTGCAACTTTGAAAAACATGTTTCCTTCTTTGTTCAAACGATTAAATGCTGAAAATTTTCATTGTGATGTTTGTAACCTTGCAAAGCATAGACGCGTCTTTTCCAGTTAGCAATAAAATAAGTTCTACTCATTTTTCTTGATTCATAATGACATATAGGGTCCCTCTACAATTCCTAATATTTGGGTGCAAGGTGGTTTGTTTCTTTCATAAATGATTGTACCAGGGTCTCTAGGATATTTTTACTTAAACCCAAATCAATGTGAAAAATGTGTTTTTGAGCTTCCAAAACATGATCCAGAATCAATTTGGAGTGAAAATCAAGAGATTTAGGTATGATAATACAATAGATTATTTCAACCAGAGTTTATCTACCTATTTCCAAAAAGAGGGGATTATCCATGAGTCATATTGTATTAATACTCCAGAGCAGAATGAAGTGGCAAAGAGGAAAAACATTCATTTACTAGCCACAACCCGAGCTTTACTTTTTCAAGTAAACGTACCCAAATCTTACTGGGGGCAAGCTATTCTCACTGCCACACATATTATAAATAGGTTACCTTAAAGGATTTTGGGGTTGAAAACTCCTATGGAACTACTCTCACAATTCTATCCTAACTTTAATACCACAAACAACCTCACATCTAAGATATTTGGTTGTACATCATTTGTTCAAGTTCACAGTTACAATAGAGGGAAGTTGAATCCTAGAGCAATTAAGTGCATTTTTGAGGGATATTCATCAACTCAAAAATAGGTATAAATGTTATCATCCTCCAACCAAAAAATTCTGTGTCTGCAGATGTCACTTTTGAAGAAAGTACCTTATCTTCAGGTGGAGACTTCTTTCATGGAAGATAAGGATAAAGACTTCTTTTTGCTTGATTTGTCCTCTTCTTCAACATTTTCACCCATTAATTATTTTGAGCTAAAACTTGTTTCTGCTGAGCCCAAGCAAACACTGAATTTGAGTCTAAACCCATTCCAAACACAGAACATGTGACAAAGGAAAATATTGTTCTTGATTCTATGAAGGAATTACAAGTGTACTCAAGAAGAAAAGTTCTAGATCTTGAACCAAAGCCTGTCCAAGAACCTGATCCTAACTCTGAAAATGAGGTAACTATAGTCTTTAACTATTTCTCAAAATATGCATGAATCTCGTAAAAGTATAATTAGTGATTATGATTTTCCTATTGCCACTAGGAAAGGAACTAGAGAATGTACTAAGCATTCACTATACCCAATCTCCAATTTTGTGTCATTTGAAAAATTCTCACCATTCCACAAAAATTTTCTTGTGAGCCTAAACATTATTTTTGTTCCAACTACATTATCCGAGGCATTATTCAGTCAGAAATAGAGGCAAGCCATGAAAATAGAAATGAAGGCCTTAAGAGAAAAATAAGACATGGGAATTGGTAGAATTGCCTAAAGGAAAAAATCCAATGGGGTGTAAATGGTTTTCACTGTAAAATACAAGGCGAATGGCACTGTTCAAAGGTATAAAGCTAAGTTAATGGCTAAGGGCTACACTCAAACCTATGGAGTGGATTATCAGGAAACTTTTGCTCCAATTGCCAAGATGAATACAGTTAAGATTTTGTTATCATTGGCTGCAAATTATAATTGGCAGCTTCAACAATTTGATGCAAAGAATGCTTTTCTACATGACGATTTGAAAGAAATATATATAAAGGTTCCACTAGGATTTGGAGGTCATCTAGAAGCAAACAAAGTATGCAAGCTGAAAAGGCTTTATATGGCCTTAAACAATCCCCTAGCGCTAGGTTTGGGAGATTTGCCAAAGTGATGCTAGCAATGGGATATAAACAAAGTCAAAGAGATCACACATTATTTATCAAGTATTCTGATTCAGGGAGAATCACAGTTCTATTAGTGTATGTTGATGATATAATTGTAACTGGAGATGATGAAAAATAGAGAGAATCTCTAAAACAGTGTTTGGCTAGAGAATATGAGATAAAAGAGCTAGGGAGATTGAAGTACTTCCTAGGAATTGAAGT